GGACAAAAAACTCGCTAGACGACAGGGTTTTTCGTTTTTTGAGCTGCTTCGGCAAAGACGATTTTCCCCTATGGGCCTTGCTTCGCAACGACGGAAACGCTTGCAAGTGGTTTGTTTTCCTTTTTCTAACACCGTAATACAGTTGCAACTTGACTGTCGAGGAGCAACTCATAGAACGCGTGTGGTAAGCCTTTTTTTAGGTTTTTAAGACTTTGGTGATTTTTGAAGCTTTTCCAAAACTTCCCGACACCGTGCTTCGCAAGACGAAAAAATCGCAAGACGACAAAACCACGGAACAAATTAATTTGTCTTGCGAGGCCAGCACTGTATTGCCCTTTTTCCAAATTAGGAGTAAAATGTGGGTTTTCCCAGGAAGCATAGGCGGGGGGGGGGGGACGACGACTCTGCTTGGACACTGACCTAGAAATCCCACACCTGCGCCTAGAAAGCATGTTTCTAGAGCAAATCAGTCTAGGATTAACTCTTTGTGTAAGGTCTGCAACATTATAGAGAGTGGGAAGAGAGGACAACCTGGTGTAAATTATATTTGGAATAGCAGATTCTTCCAGTGAGGTCTTAATGACTTTATTTATTTATTTAATGTTACATGCTGTTGGATTGCAAGTGGTTTACGAATATAAAATAAACATCAAAATATAACCATCACCCCCAAAAAAACCCAAACAGTTAAAGACAGCATTTAAAATATTGAAAAGACTGAAATTCTCAACAGTAGCTAGAAGAGGATAAAAGCACACATAATTTCTGCATGTCTGGGATAGGATTGGGCTTAACAAAAATGTTTTAAGCAAATCAAACTGGTGGATGCATGAATAATTGTGGGGTTTAAAAATTGTATCCTTTTGTATGACACCCTGAGAGCTTGTTCTATAAGACATCTGACAGATATTATTGAATAAGTAAAACAAATAAGAAACTTCTGGCGCACTTATCTGATAATACACACAGCAAAATATTATTTTCCTCTCACCTCTAAAGAAGCAAACCCACAATATAGTTCTTCGCAGATACTCCAATTTTAATGTTAATTCCAAATTCCACTGTTTAGATTTGCCACACAGTATGCTGTGTTGATGAGGATTTACTTCCTGTTTACTGAGGTTACTATTTACATGTCTTTGTAAATGATGTTTAGTTTGTTTGACACTTCCATTACACTTAATTTGCTTCCAAGAACCATTCTCTTTCTTTCTCTCCTTTCTACAATTTAAAAAAAACCTTAGAGACGAGTTAAGGTGCTTACAAATCCAGTGATGTGCCCAAACCATAGCAATGGTAAGTTTAGTCACTTGGGCTTAATTTCTACCTCTCGTAAATATATAGAATCCAGAGTCTCCCATAGTGTACTCACTTACAACTTACCTTGCACATGAAGCCCAACCTCAAAAAAACACTAGTGAGACTCCCATATAGGGGGAAAGGTAAGAAAACAATGTTTATTGGATTCAGTTCAGTTCTCATATACATAACTTCACACATATTCTCCAAGGCCTCTTAAGAGAGCTTTTTTAAAAATATATATATCAAAAATCAGAATGTTTTATTATTGTACTCTCTGTAAATGTTATCCTAGTCTTCGGAATGTTTTGAAATTGATACTTTGCTGAAATATAATTTAGGGAAAAACTTACTAACTCATGGGTGATATTACTTAAGAAATATCATGAAGCAAAAGCATTCAGTAATGACACACTAGAATAACCTAATGAAAGGAACAAAAAGGCCTGCCACTTTTTGCCATTTGAACTCTTGGCCATGAAAATCACATAAAACCTCAAAATAAATTATTGCAATTTTATCGAAGTTAGTATTCACCTCTGTGTGAATGATATTGCTTTATCAGTGACAAAGCCTTCAGTGCCATTTTACAGGTGAAACTCGGAAAATTAGAATATCGTGGAAAAGTTCATTTATTTCAGTAATTCAACTTAAAAGGTGAAACTAATATATGAGATAGATTCATGACATGCAAAGCGAGATATGTCAAGCCTTTATGTGTTATAATTGTGATGATCATGGCATACAGCTGATGAAACCCCAAATTAACAATTTCAGAAAATTAGAATATTAAATGAAATCAGCAAAACAAGGACTGCAAATAGAGCAATATTGGACCTCTGAGAAGTAGAAGCATGCATATGTACTCAGTACTTGGTTTGGGCCCCTTTTGCATCAATTACTGCCTTAATGTGGCGTGGCATGGATGCTATCAGCCTGTGGCACTGCTGAGGTGTTATGGAAGACCAGGAAGCTTCAATAGCAGCCTTCAGCTCTTCTGCATTGCTCCGTCTCATGTCTCTCATCTTTCTCTTGGCAATGCCCCATAGATTCTCTATGGGGTTCAGGTCAGGCGTGTTTGCTGGCCACAGTAATCCCATGGGCATTGAACCAGGTTTTGGTACTTTTGGCAGTGTGGGCAGGTGCCAAAGTCCTGCTGGAAAATGAAGTCAGCATCCCCATAAAGCTCGTCTGCGGAAGGAAGCATGAAGTGCTCCAAAATCTCCTGGTAGAACGGCTGTATTGACCCTGGACTTAATGAAGCACAGTGGACCAACACCAGCTGATGACATGGCTCCCCAAATCAACACAGGCTGTTGAAACTTCACACTGGATTTCAAGTATCTGACTTTGTGTGCCTCCCCATTCTTCCTCCAGACTCTAGGTCCTTGGTTTTCAAATGAGATGCAAAAGTTTCCACAGTCTGTGTCTATCTCATATATTAGTTTCACCTTTTAAGTTAAATTACTGAAATAAATGAATTTTCCCACAATACTCTAATTTTCCGAGTTTTACCTGTATAAGGAGAATTTATGAAGTGAGGAGACTTAGATTCTTCATGATTTAACACCCTTCCTGACTCACAGAGGTACTCTCATGCAGCTGAGAGTACTGCATGCTCCCAGAGGTGTCCCATGTCTAGAAACAGAGCTTTTAGCTAAAATTAGAGAAGTGCTTAGCATCATGATGTTTACATGCCTACTGAAATGTAGAATCATAGAACTGTAGAGTTGGAAGGGCCAAAGGGCCGTGCAGGAATCCAATGCAGGAATCACAGCTACATTCTTCTGATATTTAGTTGCAATCTCCTTTATTGTTATTTGAAGCCATAGGTTCGGGTCCTACTCTCCAGAGCAGAAGAAAACAAGCTTGCTCAACCTTCCATCGTAGCCCCTCTCCATCTCCCCTTATCCAGGCTAAACATATGTAACACCCTCAACTGTTCCTCATATGGCTTGGTTTCCAGACCCTTGAGGCAATCTAAGGCCCGGGGGCCGGATCCAGCCCAATCGCCTTCTAAATCCGGCCCGCGGACAGTCCGGGAATCAGCATGTTTTTACATGAGTAGAATATGTCCTTTTATTTAAAATGTATCTCTGGGTTATTTGTGGGGCCTGTCTGGTGTTCTTACATGAGTAGAATGTGTGCTTTTATTTAAAATGCATCTCTGGGTTATTTGTGGGGCATAGGAATTTGTTCATATTTTTCCCCCAAAATATAGTCCGGCCCCCCACAAGGACTGAGGGACAGTGGACCGGCCCCCTGCTGAAAAAGTTTGCTGACTACTGCTCTTGAGCATCTTGGTCGCCATCCTCTGCCCACGTCCAGCTTTTCTGTTTTGGTTTGGGGCTTTCCCTGAGGTGTGCCTGAGTCACTTGTGAAATATTCATTGCACGCCCGCTGAAAGGGTTTTGTTTTCAGACTTTGTGGGAAAGTTTTTTGTTTTGTTGTTAGAATCTGTAGAAATTGATTGCTTTCTCAGGACTTCAAAGTACACTTTTCGTACTTTGCTTCATTGTTACCTTTTTGTACCGCTTCTATGGGCTTCAGGCTGCAAATCTTTTACACATTTATTAAAGCAAATAAATAGGTTTCATAGCCCTGTATTGCACCACTGTTGCATGTTTGGAGGGAGGAGGTTCCTAAAGGACCAACGAGGCTGCCTAGCATTTTTATTTTTTCCCAGGAGCTGTGCCACGAAGAAAAACAAGCCAAAGCGATGAAGAAAGGTGTCCTTCTCCCTAGCTACAGGCCAGCGTCTTGCCTTTCCAGGCATCCTAAGTGCAGCTGGCTCCTCTGCATCCCCGCGCCCTCCTCCCAAGGCGTTCAAAAATCCCTTGTTTCCTCCCGGGGCTCCGATTCCAAGTCAATTAATTTCGAACTTTCTCGGCTTCCGTAGCTAGGACGTCCTTCTGCGCGCTGTTCGCGGTTGTCATGGCTACACTTCCTGTAACATTGAAGTTAGCCGCTCTAAGCTCTCGGTTCTGAAGCAGGTCAGTGCTCAGCGGCGGCGGGAAGCGGGAGGGATGAAGCGGTCCTCGGCGCCGAGAGCAGGGACGGATTCCCTCTCCTGACAAGACAGCCGGGGAGGAACCCGTTTCGATCGCTAAGATAGAGCGGGGCGGCAGTTGAGCGAGGGCGATGCCTAGAACTACAACTCCCAGCGTGCAACGGAGCGCTGCCCGCTCAAGGCTTAATGCTTTGCTTACCCCAATGCACTCTGGGACGTGTAGTCCAAGTGCTCTGAGGGCTTGGCGGGCACGTGTCGCTTGTAAGCTTGAGGCTCTGGCTGCCGTCTAGTTCTTTCTTTTTAACGACTTAAGTTGCTTCTGTTTGGAGCCAAGACGTGCCAAGTGTCACTCCGTTGCATTAGTGCACAGTGAGTGTGCCTCAAACTTGGATATATCCTGAGAGTTGTGTGTATTGGGTAGATTTATTATTTGACGGTGGATATAACTCTGATTTTTTAAGGGAGTAACCTGTCATTTCTCTTTCATTTCTCTGCAAAATGCCACGTTACTTCGTTAGGGCCATGTAGATAAAAAACTAATAATTGCCATTAAGTGTAAATTGTCCCTGGTAAAAGATTAAGGACAGTTAACCCACAAGTGGGTTGTGGTTTTGTTTTGTTTTTAAACCGTCTCCCTATTACACACTCTCTCTCTCTCTCTCTCTCTATATATATATATATATATAGCAATCCCTGAGTGTATATAAATAAATAAAAGCAGGCACATTGTATCCCCATTTTTATTGCCCTTGCAAAGTGTTGCTTTTGAAAAGTGGTTGGCCAACTGAAATACATTAGCTACAATTGTTATCAAGCCACAATGGTCTTTATGCATGGGACAAGGAAATGAACCAGTCAGGAGGCAGCACAGTTAATGACAGTGACAACAACTAGACAAAGGTAGGCAATGTAATGTCTCCACAACTTAAACCTCAGCAACTGCCTACCTGGCCCTTTCCTCATACTGTCAAGACCACTAGTTATACCTCCACCTTTACTTGAGATGGATAGCATGCCATATTATTTTAGAATGGTCTTAAACAACAACATAATGTTAGCCGTAGAACTAACAGTTCGGCAGCCCATGCATTTCTTTACTTTTTGCCTTTTCCATGTTACAGTAAAAGGAATGGAGGAAGATTATGATGATCGACAAATTGAAGAAGAAATAGAACTTGAATTAAGCAAAATCAGTTTTTCATCCTCTGAAATAGATGATCCTAATCTTGATCCTGATTTATCAGCAGAAGCTTCAAGTGACAGCGAACCAGTAAGTATTCCACAGGACTTGGTGGCATACAGTGATCTTTCTGCATACTTGACAAACTTGGCATATACAGTATACAGAGTTCTGGCAGATTGATATATTTACTAGTTTGGTTGATAATATATGCCATGGAGGGTACCATGTGGATGGCTTGTTTCTTAGTATCCTAGACCCTAAAGAAACTTGCATATAAGTTCTACAGTAACATATTATAACATAAATGTAGTCCCCCGTTTGTTACCAGCATCTAATTCTCAGAGGGACTCCATCAGAGGGCTAAAGGTTTTCCACTGCTGCCCTATGAATTCATCTAATTTTTTTATAAACTTACTTAAACCATGTACAAATAAGTGCTTTTAAGTGAATTAGCAGAAAGGTAATATGTAATAAATAAATAGGATTTGAGACTGCAGCACTTGTATTCCAATACTTCTACCTTACATAGTTCCACCTAGAGTTATACCTTAGCTGCAAACAAGCCTAATATGAAAATAACGTAGAATTTAATTTAAAATGTATATTAGATTTCAGATGAGCTACCAGAATCAGTTATCCATTATTTGAATTTTGTGAAGAGGAGCAGCCACAATGCAGAAAAGCTAATTTTGCAAGATTTGGAAAACGATGAAATATCAAGTGAGTTAGTCAGTTTGTTCTGCTACTGGTGTACAAGTAAGATGCTTATGTTTTACAAGAGAAACTACAGCACTCAAACATTTTTAGAATTATTTATAACTGAAAAGTAAGTTAAGGTAAAGGTAAAGGTACCCGTGCCCGTACGGGCCAGTCTTGCCAGACTCTAGGGTTGTGCGCTCATCTCACTCTATAGGCCGGGAGCCAGCGCTGTCCGCAGACACTTCCGGGTCACGTGGCCAGCGTGACAAGCTGCATCTGGCGAGCCAGCGCAGCACACGGAACGCCGTTTACCTCCCCGCTGGTAAGCGGTCCCTATTTATCTACTTGCACCCGGGGGTGCTTTCGAACTGCTAGGTTGGCAGGCGCTGGGACCGAACGACGGGAGCGCACCCCACCGCGGGGATTCGAACCGCCGACCATGCGATCGGCAAGTCCTAGGCACTGAGGTTTTACCCACAGCGCCACCCTAGGAAAAGTAAGTTAGCAGTATTCAAAATATTTAAATAGACAGATGTTAATACTCATTTTGGGTAGCAGTGTCTGTTTATCACTGTTATGGAGATTTTTTGTAAATATTAGCAGGAAAATACCTGGGAGTGCAAATTTAGGAGATTGATAGAAACCCTTGTTTAACATTGGGCCTGCCACAAATTATGCTTTGATTATTAAGATATCCTAAGTATGATTTGTATAAAACACTTACCTATTCCTTTCATTGGAATTTTAATGAGTCTTTTAAAGGTAGAATAAGCAAGCCTGAACTTGTATGAGACTTATTTTTAGTGTCAGATGTATAATGATCCAGCCTAAAAAAAAATCCTGCCCATTTGAAAAGAAGTACTATCTTATTTATATATGTGCTAGTAGGATGTCTCACTGAAATGAGTTAGTTGAAGCTTTAAACAGTAACTTCTTCTGCAGTGTCTAAATTATAATTTCTTTATTTGCAGGTGATATATACAAGGTAGTTCCTAATAATGCTTCAGAATGCTTGGCTGAGTTGGCTTCTGAATATAATGAAGACCCAGAAGAATTAAAGAAAAGGGTATTCTCTCTATATATATTTACTAGGGCTACTGCCACTGCTCATTCCACTTGCCAAACATTCCTACAGTCTGTGATATGTTGTGGGATCAGTGGTGTGTTGTGGGTTTGGCTTCAGTTTATGCGACCAGATGATGTGGACAAGATGTTCCTTCAGAGTGTGAGTCAGCAACTTCTGGACCATGTGGAATAGCTCCACTGGCCAGCTGCTAGGGGGTGCAATGCAGGCTGCAAAATATGCCTTAGTCATTTGCACAGCCTCAGGGTAGGCACAGTTATGTGTGCTAACTAATCTTCATCAGGCTTTCTGCATAGCCTCTAGCTCCTCAGAATATCAAGGATCTACTTGGACTGCACAGTGCTGGAGAGGATGCTCAGAAGCAATTGTGTCAACCTCCTGTCTTAGCTTGCCATTCTGTAGTGAGACAAGACTTTGAAAAGATCATCAGCATTTACCACTGGTCAATTCTCAAGAGCATTCAGGAACCTTGTAGGTTCTAACAGCCTCCAAGGGTTGGGCTTCCACCCTTGTGTGGGGGAATTACCACCAGGAATCTAAGCTTTATCAAACAACAGTCCAGCTATGAGAAGATCTGCCTGGGGTTGGGTTGGTAGAGAAGGGTGAGAAAACTGGGTTTCTCTGTTGGCTTCAGACCTGGTGGCTTCTTTCCTCAAGCCACCAAACTGGCTTCTGTACTGTGTATAGAAAATGGATACCAGCCCTCTCACTCACCTGCATGAATTTCCTGTTCAACTTTGGCTAACATGCTTATATACATGTTATTTGAGAATAATCTGGTTATTATCTAAGATAGGTATGGGGAACTTTTGGCTGTCTAGGTGTTGCTGAACTACAGCTCCCACCAGTCCAAGCAAGCATGGCCAAGGGTCAGGAGACTTGTAGGCAAGCATCATCTGAGGGCCAAAAGTTCCCCACACCTGATTTGAGAAAACCTTAGTATTTACCATTCTCTTTAAAAAAAAAATCCAGTTCAAATATAAGGAAATATTTTTAAATAGGTTTTTTTAACCCACCGTGTGTGTGTGTGTGTGTGTGTGTGTGTTCTTATTTCTTTTTTCCCCTTGCACTAATACGTAGTTCAAATATATGTTTCCAGAAAAACTGTTCCTAGTGACATTCTTTTTAGAAACTGGCTAGTTATGACAAAAATAAAATTTCATACGTAGCAAAAAATTCAGGATCTGATTAGATTTTGGCAGTAGAGAGCAATAACAATATAGCAGAAAATGTGACACATGTAGAGATAGGCTTACATTGATTGTCATAACAGAAATAATTTGATAAGCTTGGTGGTTGCTCTAAACTTGCTTCAAAAATATATTTTGAATATATCTCTGTTAAAATACAAACTGTAATACAAATACAAACCTATTGTTGGGTAGGAGACTTGTCTCATATTTTGCTTGTGGCAATATGCATGTTGAAGTAGACTTTGATGCAGACATCCCTAATTCAATAAGAAGTCTTAAATGCAAGCTAGTGCGGTATTGCATTCACATTTTCTTTCACCAATCTAGCTGTGGTAGTAAACACAAACCCCCATTTGAAAATCGGTGATATTTCTGATTAGCAGCTTAGGAGGGAAAGTAAAGGAATTTAATTCAGTTCTCCTCCTCATTAAACAACTGAATAGTAAGATTGCTGCTCTTACAACAAGACTCTGCACATACCAAGTTGGATTGTGGCCAATACAAGTGCTCCGAAACTTTTCATCCATAACAAATAACATCTGTTCATTACCTATACTTCTCCTACTATATCTCTTGCAATTTTGAACGATGACTAGCAGAGAACATAACTGCTTCTGTGTATAGTTTGATAGTTCCAAGCTCAACTACACTCTCATGAAAATATTTGTTGCTGTTTAGGTATTGTCTGAAATAGAAGATGAAGATGAAGAACAACAACAGATCAACGTGACTTCTGATAATACAATAGAGGCCAATGATAATGGAGACATTGCTTCCAGTGAAATTGCTGATAGAAGTTCTTTGACAGGTAAACAATCTTATAAGATAGTGACTCACAGAGAATCACTCATCCTCATGACTTAGCCCAGGTCTCTGAGATCAATATTGTTTAGCCAGAGATTTCAGTTATTTTCCATACATGGTATGTTCTACATCTGCATGATATGAGCTATATTGTTGGGGATGTTGAAGATGAAGCAACCTCCTCTAGTGCAGAATGTTAAAATAGATTATCACAGGCAGAAAAAAAACCATTCACCTTGTTTTTATGGTATAGTGCAAATTCTTAAAACCACCAGGAGCTGGCCACACAGTTTTATGGGGGGAAACAGTATGAGTGGTTCCAAGTTCTAATGCCTGCATTCTTCTAGATGATGGTGACACAGACCTTAGCTTTACTTTCCAAGAAGTTGAAGAAAGATGCAAGCGAGAATATGAGCTCTGGGAAGAAAAGCAAAATGAACTTGAAAATGAAAGAATAAAACAGTTGAAAATTAAGAAGTGCATGGAAGAAACACAAAATGAAGAGGAGGAAAAAAGGAGGCAACTACGGCAGGAGGAACTGGAGGCTGAAAGAATGAAGTTAGAAATGTTCCAAGCGGTAATATTTTAATGTCGATAATGGGCATATTTAAAACCTGTGGGTCGTATCTTTTATTTATTTAGTATATCTTGTTTTTAGACTGAAATGAATTTGAATGAATTAAAAAATAATAAACATCAGAAAAAATAGAATAGAATTCATACATTAATGAAACATATTAAATTTAATACATTAAACCATGCAAATATCGCATAATAATTTAAACATATATGTGCCCTGTGTAGCTAACCTAGATACAGCTTAAATTAAAGAACTGAGTCTTCATAATATGCTAGTCATTGATACGTTCTGACATGCTTTTCACTGACATTGATATATATATTATACTTCAAATGTTACAGGAACGAATTATATTGTAGCAATCAGCTCCTTTAGTGTACAAAGAGGGCCTTATTCCTCTTTGGTGCTACACATATTATCGAAGAGTGTGTTCGGAAACATTGCTTTATTGTTTATTATAAGAATACCAACAATCAAATGACCAGTGTGATTTTCTAGAGGAACAGAGTTTAGTAAATGTTTCAGCTTTTGTCATTTGGTTTTTATAATTTTCCAGCCTTTTCTGTTACTTTTTTACATGCACCTTCTCTGTCAGACATTCTTCTATCTAACATTAATAAATTACATTGAAGTGCTAACATTGATGATCTATATTATGTACAGCAACAACAGACAATGATGGAAAAGGAGCTGATGAAAGAGGAGAAGTCTTGGAAAGAACAAATGAGACAGCATGAGGTAATTTACATACAAGAATGTTGACAATTTTTATAAGATTGTAGCATTGTAGTTTATGTATAGGAAAATAATTCTCAGCCCACATGTCATGCCCAAACTATCATAGGGTAGACTTATTGAAATTAATGTATCTAAGATAGTCATGTCTATTAACTTTCTTTGATTCTTGGCCCTGTAACCATGGGTGCTTGGGGCCATGGGTGCCATGCAGCTTGAATGGCCCTGGCATTGAAATTTGAGAGCGCCAGGCCCCCTCATTGGGAATTTTGTGGGTGCTAAGGCACCCAGGGCCGCAGGGAGTTGGCACCTATGATACTAGCATTGAATACCACCCCAGGTTTATTCTTTCAGCATAGCAACATGATTTTTCTACACCTGCTGGGACAATTACAAATAGTTCATTTCATATTATTATTATAACAGAGCCAATATAATAGCAATACACTGAACAATAAATGGAACACAGTTCAATATATATGTTACAAATAGATTGACATCACCTCCCTCTGACCTGCCTGTTTTAATATGCCTATTTAATATGCAACCTATTTAATATAGAACCATTAATATCAGTTTCTATTTTATGTGATTTGTACGTCATAATTTTGGTATTTCTTACAAATGCTTACTTTTTTGTTTGGGCTTAGGAATTGATTAACAACTTACAGATACAAATAGAAGAAGAAAAGAAGGCATTTGAAGAACAACAAGCTATGGAAAGACAACACTTGGCAGAACTGCAGAATATGGCCGCTGTAAAAATCCAAGCTACCTTTAGAGCCTTCTTGGTATACAAAAAATATTCCCCTGTCTTGAAAGAAAGGAAAAAAGAACTGGAAAAACAAAGAGAATTGCAAGAAGCGATGCAAAGGGAAAGGAAAGAAAAGCAGGAAAGATTGATGAAGAGGGCCCTAGAGAAGAAGGAACAAGAGGAGAAAGAAAGAAAGAGATGGGAAGAAAAAGAGAGGCAAGAACTTGAGGAAAAGATGAAGAGGCATGAAGAATATGAAAAGAAGAAAGAAATTTTGAGACTTCAGCGAGAACAACTAATATTGGAAGAACTGAAAATGATAGAAAAAGGCCACCTAGAATTTGTGATAGAAAAGAAAATGGAGTCTGAAAATGTAGATAAAGAAAAACTGTTGGCTAAAAACAGAAAAATAATTAAAGAAGTCAAAGAAGGTGATGAAACTGAAAAATCAGAAAGGCAAATGAAACTGGACAATATTGATAAAGTTACAAAAATAACAAAGAAATTAAAAGCAAAAGAACAGGTAGAAGAACGAAAGGAAGAAGAAACTGCCAAAATAAAAAGGGGAATGGGCCCCCCAAATACAGAGAAGGCTTTAGAAATAGCAAATAAGGAGGAAGAAATCAAAAAGGTAAAAGAAGAGGAGGAAGAACAGGTAGAAGAACGAAAGGAAGAAGAAACTGGCAAAATAAAAAGGGGAATGGGCCCCCCAAATACAGAGAAGACTTTAGAAATAGCAAATAAGGAGGAAGAAATCAAAAAGGTAAAAGAAGAGGAGGAAGAACAGGTAGAAGAACGAAAGGAAGAAGAAACTGGCAAAATAAAAAGGGGAATGGGCCCCCCAAATACAGAGAAGACTTTAGAAATAGCAAATAAGGAGGAAGAAATCAAAAAGGTAAAAGAACAGGAGGAGGCTAAATATGGAAGAATGAAACTAATTGAGGAAAAGCAACAGAAAGTTGAAACACAGGAAAAAGAGTATGAGAAAAAGAAACAAGATGAAATACATGAAATGATGCATGTAGGAAATGATGACAGATACCGTTTTTTGACAACTGTGGAATTTCAGGGAAATGGTAATACAAATGCTCTCAATAGTGAAACTATTACAATAGTTAATCAGGAAGACAGCAGGCATAGCAGTTGCATCAGCATGGATGTTCAGCTAGATTCTGGAGGCGCTGGACAGATAGATGGGTCTTATGCATCTGAAAATATTAAAATAGAGCTTGCTTTAAAAGAAATTCATGAGGAAGTCACTAGTCGTTGGGCCAGATGTGAGAATTCAGTCAATTCTTTTGAGCAACCGCTCGTGCTTTCAGATTCTATTGAAAAGAAGAGGTTAGCGTGGATGAAAGGATGTAAATCCTGGTCTAGAATTTATAGGGAACACCAGGGGAAGAAAATAGTTGAAAGAAGCAGGCCATGGAAATGCTCCTCTGGTCTGATGCCTCCTCTGTGTGCTGCCATGATAATGCAGGCTGGCCCTTGGAATTCTCTGCAACAGGTAAGTAAAAGTTGCAAGTTCAGAACTGTCGTACAAGTGTCTTGTGAATCCTTTTAGTGCTTATGTATCACGAGCTATTCGTAGGTTCTTAGTGCTGACATAACATTCCCCTCAAAGGAAGTAAGAAGTGGAATCATAAAGTTTGCCAAAAATGCTTGAATAATTTACTGACTTTTATAGAAACTCTTTCCCACATTCCTTGTTCACTGTGTGCTCTAGTTCTGTTGATGCAAAGGGTTGGGTGGGGACTATGGCAGTATTGTGCAGTTAGGCAACCTGATCACAACCTTCCAAGAGACTTTACACCTCCTACACAGCCTGCAGAGTAGTGGATGAGCAAAACGAGAGTTACAGTAGCGTAGAACAATTGTTGAACAAAGAAGTATATCTTTCCATTGTGGTGTGTTGGATGTCATGAAGTGTTTTCTACCCCCACCCCCTGATATGATTTTGGATTTTTCCAAACTTTTTTGTTTTGAGCTAGAAACAATATTTTGGATGGTTTGAAATCACAGTTTATATAATGCATTGCAAATATATTTCAAATGTTGCAAGAGTATAAAATTTCTCTTATTGAATGTGCATAGGTGACCACAGTTACCTTTCAAGATTTGCCAGGCTGCAGCCTCTCCACGTTGTCACAGTGTTCAAAGCTACAATTTTTGAGTCTCAGACGTTGTGGATTGCTTTCTTTGGAAGGACTCAGCAACTGCAAAGATCTAAAATACATAGATGCAGAGGTACTACTATGTATTTTTTAGTCTATGTTGAAGTGGAAATTATTTCAAAAGGTGCTGTTACACATTCACTCCACATACAATAAGAACATAAGAGCCCTAGTGGATCAAATCAAAGGTCTAGCTAGTCTAGCATAATATTTTCAAATAGCAACCTTCATATGGATATCTTTCTCCTTGCTACTAACCAGCCTGGTCAGGGAGGCTGCTTATCAGCAGGGTGGTGAATACACTGACAGCATCCCAGATCTGTCTATCTAGTCTAACACAGATGCAGTGCCTCTAAGCCCATCCCCAAATCAATAGGTTTTCTGGTAAAAGGTTATATTTCTATGGACAATGCCAACACAAAGATCTGGAATGCTTTGACCATCTAGACTGGTCTGGTGCTGTACCAAGAACCCAGATGTGTACAGCTGAATTACCCCATGCCCACCCAGTTTATGCATGTGAGTCGCAGTAATACATGTCAGGTCATCCCCTTCTAGGTCAAATCAGGGATGAACATAATTTAGTTACAGACTGACCTGGCAAATAGAGGACTAAGTGGCTAGCCCCATCAAAAACTGCTGGAGGAGCTGAAAAGGCCCAAACATCTAGACCTCCATCCCAGGTGGTAATCAGTTCCTCCACTCAAATATTCTCTTGCCTACAATGAATGGAATCGAAGCAGTATTACTGTAACTGCCTGCCAAAGGCTCATCCAGACACATCTTAACACCTTCACCCAATAACCCTATGTACAGCACAAAGTTTAGGGGCACAGATGATAAACTAAAGCTCACAAGTAAGTGTATCACATGTGGTAGACAGAATATAGTAATCTCATAAGTACACTCCTTTGCCTCTCACCCAGGGGAACCTACAAAAACCAACCTCCCTCCCAATTCAGCCTGGCTTGAACTGATTTTTGTATCAGTTTTAATCAGGATCGGAGGCAATAGCTGCAATCCTAAACACTTACCTGGCAACAAATCTCATTCAATTTATTGAGCATTCTGAGTAGACATGAATAGGATTGTACTGTTAATTATTTTTAGTTCATTCAAAAAAATGTAATAAAACTTGAAATATGTGTTTGGTTTGTTTACAGGAAAACAATATTAAAGGGATTAATTGTGAGAATCTTGAAAATCTCTGCATTCTAATTCTGAACAAAAATGACATTTCATCCCTTCATGGTTTATATGGCTGCACTAATCTTTGGAATCTTGAACTTTCCTACAATAAAATCACTCGAATTGGTAAGGGCCTGACTATTTCCATTGATAAATAGTAGAACTGCAACCATTAGTAGGTAAATAAATGTTCTTAATAAGATATTTTTATATGATTAACAATAAACGCCTCTGTTAATTGGTTTGGGTTAGTAGCCTCTGTGGTCTGCTCTTTTTAAAAATATGGTGGTTGTTTCAGCACTGAGAGTCAGGTCATAGGTGGGCAGTCTTGTGGTTCCTAGTTACACTTCAGTACAAGTAAACAACTTTCATTTACCAGGGAAAGTAAATAGGTGTCCATCTGCATATTCCCTGGTGCACTCAGTGTCTGTGGTGGGGAGCAGATTTTATATAAATGGCCAGTCTTGCTGATTAACTTGTTTCAAGGTAAAGTAAACAAGAAAGCTCACAGAAATTTGCGGACATAGTTGAAGGAAGACCTGTCTTCCGTTTGGCGCACTGTTGATCCCAATGTCTGCTCTCCTCCTTCCCTCTCAGTGCATCTCATGCTGCAATCTGCTTGGTTGTCTCATAGATTTCAAGCGGAGCATTGGAGAAGATTTTGCTCTTGTTTTCATAGTTTCAACCAGGGTTCCTTTTGTTGATCATGCTAGACAAAGAAACAAAATCCAGGCTGTAGTGTACATGAGTATGGTTAGTAAAATAAGGTACATATCTGATTTGTGGTTCATTTAATGAAGTAACATATTAGGAAACTGGATTTCAAAACCTGAGGATTCAATTGATGAATCAGCAATGAAACATGCACTTGGCTGAATAAAAGCAAAAGCTGCCTTGGCTATCTTACTGTGCTAAAAAATAAAAGTAGCCAAAAAAATCCCCATGAGCAAATAAGATGTCTGCACATACTAAACAAAGGGAAGTATGAACCAAAGAATGACATTATAATTTATTTTATATTTCCAAAACTGTTGCTATTAGTCTCCTGTTATGCAAAATAGTGTCAAGGTAGCTGAATGAATGCTTCTTTCCAGTAAAGCCTCTTTATATGATGTCGTACCAAAGTTTCTGCACCCCCAAAAAGGTTACAACATTGAAAATGAAAGGTTAAGAAGCTATTTTACTTCTAGTATATAAATCTTGTATATAAATATTAATTTAAATGTGAACATTTATAATATCAATGCACCCAATCCAGTTGGTTATGTTTTAGATTGCTAAATTTTCTATATTAAAGTGACAGATTTCTTAGGCACAAGCTTCTGCTTGGAATAGTGACTGTTGGTGTTCATTAAATCTCAAAGATCAGTAATCCAAGGTAAACCAACAAGGTGGACTGATTGGTAGCAGAAATGCTGGAATCTGTGTTCAATCTGTCTTCGGTGCCAGTAGTACTGTAAAGGATTACTTGTTTCAGATGGATTTCCTGAGGTAGAATATCAGAAAGATTAATGTGAGAGTGACATAATATGAATTGATGAGTCTTGGATATGAAGACTACAGGGCCAATGAGGCAAAAGCCTCCTGTCCTGTCTGTATATACAATGAAAGCACTGTGCTTACCCGTAAATGAGATGAGTTTGAATGAGAAAGTAGATGTTTAAGAAAACCACTTGGAGCCTGCTTTTCTGTCCTCATCAACTGCTTGGGGGAGGTCTGGTTTGTAAGCTGCATTTCATGTTACACAATCACATATTGATAGGGTTGTGTTTTTTTTAAAAAAAAACACCTTATGGAATTACACAAAGATAGACTTATGTTTTAAAAGATTTCCCCCTCCTTTTCCATCTCTGAGTCCTGCAGAGTTTCCCTAGGTAGATTTGGAAGTTGCAGTGCAACAACCCCACCCCAGTCCTTATTACATTCCATTCAAATGATTCTGTGGCTATTTCTCTAAAATGCGGCTTAAATTGCTGTCACTTACCTGGTAGTCAGTCCCTTGAGTATAGTAGGACTTCCTTTTGAGAAAGCATGCAGTGAATTGCACTGTCTGTATATAACATTTTAGTCCTTAGTGTCTCTTTTGTTTTCCACATCATGTAAAACTAAATGCAGAGAGAGTACATGGTTTAAACTCAGTTGATAAAATAAGGGGTTTTAAATTTTTTTAAAAATTGTATTGCATTCTATGAATACTGACTGCTCATTATCAGAATAATTTAAACTAGTTCTGGATTTACAAATATGCCTTAAGTTGGATATTTTCTGAATTTTTGTTACTCTTCCTCCGTCTTCATGGTTTTATAATAATTTGAAAACTAATAAAAATAAACTAAAAAGAAAGAAAGTCTAGGTTATTGATAATTTTGAAATCAGAAACATATTTCTTTTGGAACCAGCTTTAGTTAGTAAATAGAAAGCTTTGTTACCTTCCGAGTTACGCAGAACCCTTAAAACAAAGCATCACATATTATTATACCAATAGAGACTAAGCTATTAAAAAAGCTGTGGGCTTTAATAGATTTAATAACATCTTAACAAATCAAAGATAGCACAAAGATAATCTCAGTGTCATTGGTTCAATCCCCACATTGACCAAAGGATTCCTGCATTGCATGATCCCCTCTACAGGGGATCCAGAAACAGAAAAGTATGCTATTTTATTTTTTTGAAGTGTTAGTAATTCCACACCTTATTCAGTACCTGCCAACCATACCCCTCCCCATGCCCCCCAAAAAGACCGTGCCAAACTACACATGACACAAAATGTATAATTGGAAAACTTGTCAGATAGTGTGTGCACATGCTCTTTTTTAAATTAATAGCAGGCAAGGAGCCCGTGGGAAGGAAATGTTTAACCCTTCCCTCCCTACTGTTACTTCTGACACGCATACACCAATTATTAGCCCCAGGAAAAGAAATTCCTGTTTTTGTTTTTAATAAAACACTGTGGTGTGATTACTAATGGCACACGGGAGTGGGCGGGGAAGCATTGCTACCACTTACCTGGACAGTGGTGTAGCAGGTGAATCCAGGACTGCACTGACACACAGGCAGAACTAATCCAGTATTTCCTCTGGTGTGCCCACACAATCCTAACACTTTCCACCGCCCTGCATCACCTGACACCATTCCAATAAATAGCAGCAACCCCAATATTAGGATAGTAGCAGAGCACCACTACAACAGCCTCTCCTGATGAAACATTTGGTTTAACCCTTTACAATGTGATTTGGGTAATCCCAATATTTATTTTAAAAAATTACAGATAATGCACCAAGCAAGAGTTCAACCTGTTATTAGATCGGTCCACTGCTTTATGCCAGCAGGAGGGGGATGATAAGTGGACTTTCCTAAGGAAAAAAATGAATCCAAAGTGACAAGTCTAAATAACTCTTTTATATTCCATAAATCCACTAGGTGGTGCAGGTTAGCTTTCCAGATTATTTAACAGCAGATTCCAAACCGCTGACTTGCCATGTTGCGTTTAAATTTAGAAGTATATTTGAAATTATTTTTTAGTAATTGAGGAATGGTCCCCAAATCCGTCCAAGTGGAAATCATATTTAAACCAGTAGTCTATGATTCTTAGTTTTAAAAAACCTGAGAAAACTTAGTTCATGTAATGCAGAACTTGTGACATTTTAACAGTACAGTCTAATGGGTATCTGTTGAATTCAATGCAATTTACTTTCAAGTAAGTAAGTGCAGGATTGGTACTCAGTGCAGAGGCATTTGGTTATAGATAGTAGGATATTTGCTGCTGATTGCTATATTAATATTGGATCTATTTTTTCATGTCAGCAGAAATATTTGTCGGTATTTTAAACTGAAATTCAAGGCATAGTTCCTGGTTTGAAAATTGGGCCTCAGTCCAAATAAGCTTTCAGTAAACTTTTCAGCCTCGCAATTCCCAGAGCTGATGAGCCTATTTGTAGTTCAAGTTTAAGAACATCTTGTGACTTGGCAGTAGGAACAGCTATAGTAAAAGCAAGATGTCTCCACGGCACACATAGTTCTCTGCTACACATGCAAATTTCTTCGTTAGATCATGTCCCTAATTCTAACAAAAAAATCATTTTGAATAATGGATAATCAAAGTGTTATATGGAACAATATGTGACAACATTTGTATAAGAGCATATTGCAAGTATGCACTGTAGATTTTCCAGTCCATAAAAGAGTTGGACATTAAATAATAGAAAGGTTAGCGTACTGACTTTAGTTTCTTTCTCTGTCTCCACCAGTGTTTTGCAGACAAAAAGGAAGCAGTGAGCACATATACCATGTCACAAAAAGTTGTTTTCCTTTCAAAACAAGAAAACTGGGAAAGCATCACTCAACATCACACACCACTTTGTACGTTATAGCTAGGTTTGCCGTACATCCAGAATTTCCCAGGCATAGCCAGGATTTGGTCGTCGGAAACAGTGCCCAGGTGGAAATTGCTGAAACGTCCAGGAAAATCTGGATGTATGGCAACCAATGTTTGTGGCACAAAAGAATCATCAGAAAATATCTTCCCTGCCTCCACTCTACAGATTTCTTAACAGTATCTGTTATTCACTGTTCTGTGATTTTCCCACTCTGCTTTTTGTCTAATTAAAGTTGAAATTCACTCCCACAAGATGTAGTGATGGCCACCAACTTGAATGCCTTTGAAAGATGAGATGATTTTATGAAAGGATGGCTAACAACAATAGCTATGTGCACTGAGGTCTTGCTTATGGGCTTCCTGTAAGCATCCAGTTGGCAACTGTGAAAGCAGAACCCTGGGCTAGAGGGGCATTCAAATGGATCCAGCAGTCTCTTATTATGTTTTCACATCATATTTCTATGATGTAAGGGTGCACAAACAACATGCTCACAGCTAACTTAACTGAATGTCATTCTTTAATTGGACCCACCAGGTGAGATGCTGCAGGTAGTTACTAGAGAAAGTGCCTTTTTTTTGGCAGTGTCCTGACCAGGACAATTCTTTTGCAACCTGACTTAGCACCTTTCTTTTAAAAAAAAATAATACTTTTTTTATTTGATTTTTTAAAAAATATAAACACACAATTAACATCAATTCAGAATCCAAATACTGAGATTACACTGAATCTTCTGACTTCCCCCCATCCCTTCCATGGGTCCCAATAAAAATAATTACAACTGCATATCAATATTTGGCTTAGTACCTTAATGTCACTCCAGCACTAGGCAAAGGCCATTATATCAGTCCTGATTTTATTTTCATTTTTTTGTCATGTGATTATATGCTGCTCTTATATAGTTTATTGTTAATATGTCTTTTAATTTTATGTATTTTAGATGTAATTTGACCATGCAAGCTTCCTTGAGAATTTGTTGAATGGAAATACAACATAAATATTCAGTAAAGAAATAAATCCACTTCCATTCAAACAGAGAATATGGGGTGTTTATGAATGGTTTATGAATGCTACATGGTTTTAACAAATGGAGAATAAAATACAAAATGTGCTGATGGGAAGCTATTATGACTTGTTACTAATTTCAAAAATAAGTAAGATTTCGATAAACAATCATATTATGGACTAGATATGCCTTCTCATGCTATTTAGTATGATGATGGAAACAGAGGCAACATACTTGTTTCTTATGTATATAATATAAGCATGTTGTACTTCTGATTCCTTAAGTCAAAACCAATGTATTGTTTTATTTCAATGCTTTGAAATATTGTAACTTTACTTTTTAGGTGGATTGGAGTCATTGAAAAATCTTCAGCGACTTGTTATTGATCACAATCAATTGATCAGCACCAAAGGACTATCTCATACTCCTACTCTAGTGTATATAGATTGTTCCTTTAATCATCTTACTCATATTGATGGCATTGAAAATTGTGGCCTTCTTCAAATTCTGAAGTTACAAGGGAATAACTTCAATGAGGTAAAAAAACTACAACACCTTGGCTGTTATCCAATTAAAGAAGTCTTACAGAGCAATTCTAGGCATGGGGGAAAGTCTGTGGTAGAGAAATTGTTGTTTTCTAGGCTCATGCCAGGCACCCCGATTTTCTCTTTTTTGCTTTTCCATTTTTCTCTTTCTGTTGCTTTAAATGAGAAGAAAAATAGCTGTGCCAGTTTTAAGTTTGGTATAGTTTAAAAAAAAACTTAAGAAGGCCCATTCAGGGATCAGACCAAAGGCACAGTCGTATTATTACAGTGGCCAACCAGAGGACTACATGTTCTTCTGAGGAGAATCTGCTGGATTGTTACTTGGTAGCAATGCAACAGTGAGCTTTCTCTGTGATAGCAGTCACCTCTAAATATCCTGTGCACTGTTCCCAAAACATCTCTGGTAGCAGATCTCCTCCACCCATGGATTGCTGTATCCACTTGGTGGAAGGTCTGAAGCATCCAACACTATCAGTTGATTATATCTGCAGATGAGAAAAACCAGTAGTTCTGAATAAAAAGCACACTTTTGGGTTTCTAAAGATGTATTTATGTGCCTCAGCATACATTATTTTACATAATATATTCCTTCATGTTCAATAGAGAAGGTGCAGTGCCTCTTCTAAGATGACACTTGGAGTGCCCCATTCTTATCAATGCATAAGGTTTTGTTTGATCATCCTGAGAGGGAATCACAAAGCATTACCACTTACCTGTTTTATAAGACTTACCTGTTTTATAAGACTTCAAATTTCTGAAATAATGTGTTGGGAAAGGAGTGTTAGGCAGATCCATGCACACACACACCTGTATGTACATGTATGGTACACAGAATCATATTCCCCCCCCCCCATTGCTGCTGTTGAATGGTCACTATATACACTATATACATTATTGAGTATACATTTCAGTTTTTCAAAGGAACATCAGAGACTGAAGCACCTTTATTTAATTTTGGTCCCATTTATATATATATTCTCTACCTGTGTGTGTCTGTAACATCATCAACTGTTTATTTGCATGCCATTTCCCCACAAAATTGTGCTCAAAGTGACTCATAGCATATTAAATGAACAATAATATTTCAAAAACCTGTTAAGAACTTATGCTGCAGTAACTGCAAATAGGATTGCAGCCTTAGTCATTTTAGTATGATAGGCAATGTGCTATAATAATATGTTAATATTGATTTATGTTTAGTTCCCCAGCCTGGAAAATCATGTTTTGCTAAGAGAATTATACTTGGAAGACAACAGCATCTCAACAATGGAAAAGCTTTCTACATATTGGCTGCCTTTACTACAGATACTTTTTATCTCACAAAACAGGTAAAACTAATAACATTATATTTTTGGAGGGGGTGGGTTACAGTGGTACCTCGGGTTAAGAACTTAATTCGTTCTGGAGGTCCATTCTTAACCTGAAACTGTTCTTAACCTGAAGCACCACTTTAGCTAATAGGGCCTCCCGCTGCCACCGCTGCGCTGCCGTCGCAAGATTTCTGTTCTCATCCTGAAGCAAAGTTCTTAACCTGAGGTACTATTTCTGGGTTAGCGGAGTCTGTAAGCTGAAGCGTCTGTAACCTGAAGCGTCTGTAACCCGAGGTACCACTGTATAAAGTTCAGACCCTTTTAAAACTGGAAATACAAGGAATGAAGTCAGGGTCCTTCTACATACAAAGCATACAGCCATGGGCCTATCCATACATATTGAACCCTGTTGTGTGACTTCTCTCTTTCCCCTCCCTTTGCTGCTGTATATTGCAGTCGACAGCTGGTGAAGTGCTTCCTGTTGTGTGGAAGGAAGCACTCTGTCATAATAGCTGAGTGGATATTTGGCTGACATTTCTAGCAGGAAAAGCTTCCCGTATCTCTGCTGTATGTGTCAACATCTTTAACATAAATCGTTTGAGCAAAAGTGAGAATGAGGATGAAGTGGATAGGCATGACTATAAATATAGCTGGAATGGATGACAATATCAGCAGAATCGATGATTAAAGCAGTAAAAAATGTAGTAGTTCAGTAGTTGATATTTGTAGTTTCTTTACCAATGTGGCCATGTTCTAAGCAGCTCCATATGCTTTTGCTATGGCATAAGTGATTGGATGTTCTGTACAGAAGGATTGAATGTAATGAAGTAAGCTGTTGAAAGAAAAGCTGTTCCTTTGCTTTTATCCTGCAGCTGATGCAGTTGTATGATTTCTTCTTAAGAGTGTGCAGTGAGTGTCATTTCCTTTTTGTTGACTGCTGGAAGCCCCTATGAATGTTAGGATTGTGAATCCATATATTCCTTAAGAATAAAGCTCCAGTAGGAAAGTCTAATTTGCAACTAATAGATGATAACAGGTCTTCATCTTTATATAGGAATAATTGATTTTTAAAGGTAAACATGGATGCCTAATAAAGTTTTAGCAGACAAAATACTGATAGGTGACTCGTAATATTTTTTTAAGCATTGCACATATTAAAAATTGGAACAGTATTTTTATCTGGATGACTGCCCCTGTTAAAAGAATGAAGTACATTATATCTGCATGATGTGAGAAGAACATATTTTCATATTTCAAAGCTGTCCTTATTTATCTGTGCCTCAAGTCCCTATCAGGGGAAAAGGTGGGATAAAAATATATAATAACAATGATAATATTTCCATATGTACCATATATTTATTAAGCAGAATACCTTCCCCCTTTTCAAAGTAGTTGCCCATCAAGTTTTAGAAGTTGTATCATGTAGGAATTTCCGTGGTTAAGAGAGCAAGAGCACTCCTCTCCTGTTCCTTCCTTCTCGGGCTTTCAATACTTTTCCCTACCCTTCTATTTCAACACCAACCCATGGTTAGCTCAGGAGAGGCAGCTTTAAAATAAGCATTTGAAACCTGATTCTAACTGTGATTTCAAACTCTGTTTCAGCTAATGCTGAAAAGAGAAGGAGTAATTAGAAAAGAAGAGGGACCGAGGAGCATATGAGGTTGAGAAGGAAAGGAAGTGTGCAAGTCTGAGGGGTTCTCCAGATCTCTGAACCACTGTTAAGAGATTGGGGAGCATTCTTCTTCTTCTTTGGCGATCACTCGTAGCCAAGTAAGATTGCCTTCCATGAACACGGTTTTAACAGTGAGTCCGTAAGTGACTGTGGAGGCCAATTCTGGATCCACACGTCCTTCCACAGTGGGGACAAGCTATAGCAAATGCATTTAAAACAAGACTAAACCCTAACAAAGTAGACATACATGTGAAAGACCCATTTATCTAGCTGGGAAAGTCTGACAGTACAAAAATGTCTCCAGTTGTTTCCAGAAAGTGGGCACCTGTCGTATAGTGACAGTAAGGCTATTTCACAGAACAGGGGGAACCATAGTAAAAGTCCTGCTCCAAGTTACTGTGGAGTTGGCTTCTGAGATCTTTGGAAGTTGCAAAAAAAAAGTCCCCTGCAGACCACAGCAATCTATTGGTTGTATAAGGGATAAGATGGTCTCTCAAGTAACCTGGCCTGAGCTTCATAGGTCCTTATATTTTAGTACCCACACCTTGAACTTGGCCTGATAACAGATTGGCAGCTAGTGCAAATCCCCCAAGCAGGGTGTTATAAACTGGTGGTACTTTGCCCCCATAAGCAACCTAGCTGCTACATTCTGCACCAGCTGAAACCTCTGAATCACTCCTAAGACTTGCCTCTTTTAAGTACCATTGATTGTTTAAAAATATGCAGTGGAATCCTATATATGTTTACTCAAAAGTAAGACCGATTGAGTTTAATGGGACTTATTCCCAAGTAAGTGGGCATGGGATCACATCCTCAAACATATGTTTAAACTTCTCCTTGAATTTTTACTTAAAATGCCTTTGCTTTGTCTGAATCATGACCCAAACAAATATTTTACAAGATGTACTATGTAATGATCAAGTATCATTTTATTTTATTATTTTTTATCAATATGAAGTGTTGCCTTTTCTTTTAACGCTTGTGCATCTTTAATTCAGCAAAAGTGGCTATTTTATTTTGAATAATAAACAAGATAAGTCAATTGCATAACACAGAAGAAAAGTCTGTGAGCATCCATAAAAAAAAACTATCTGCATTGCACAGAAGTGCAATAAATGGATTTTGACAAAATGTGTATTTAGTGTGTATATTTTGGAGTATACACTTCAGCACTTGGCTGCTTCTCCTCCCCGACCCCCACTACCACATGCATTTAACTTTCAAGTTTGTTTCAGTTTTGCTTTCTTCATATAAGTCTCCCAGACTGTCTTTGTCCTGCCTTTGCGACTGTTTGGCTTTAAATGATACCAGAAAAAGGAAGCTATTGGACTTTAAAAAAATATCTTTTACTTCTGTGTCGTCTTTGTAATTTATATCCTTTTAATGCCCAGGGCTAGTGGGACAAGGTCAAGTGGTATTAAGTTTTCTGTAATGTCCTTTGTCTTTCTGGTTTGAATTTTCTAAAAAGAAAAAGGAAAAAAAAGACAAAGACCGCCAGTGAAAAGGAAGCTATAGAATGACAGACTGGAAAAAAAGGATTTGCCTTGTATAGTACAGGACAAGAATTTTAGATCTGAATGGCAAGTAAGACATCCAGTTCTCTAAATAATGACACCCTAAATGCCATTATTAACAAGCAACATAAGATGTATTGCATACAGAGTTCTTCTACATCTATGATTTTACAGTGTTCTCTGTTCTCATTCCGTTAGAGCATTTCAAAAGTTAGCAGTATACTGCCCAGAGATTTGGTGGGGTTTCCAACTCAGAGTAGATTCATTGAAGTTAAAGGACATGACTATCTTAGCTTCATTAATTCCAACTGGTCTACTCTGAGTAAGACTTAGTTGATAAGAACAGGCGACACCATTAAACCACAGTCTAACTTGTCTATTGCCAAAGTATTTCAAACAGACTAACTTCTGTAATCCAGGACGGCCACAATTTGAGCTTTTAATCATCAAAATGTTTGTCAACTCTGTGTTCCGGAAAATGTTTAGCTGTTGCTTTGACCCATTACTGTGAAACTTCCACCTAAAATTGCAAAGCTGCTGGCTTGCCACCTTCAACTCTAAATACTATGGTCAATAATCCTCCTTGTGTTAGTATAACAAGAAAGCATTTCTCTCATGCAGTAATGAGACAAATAAAAGAAAGGCAATGCGTATATTTTTAAATGGAATAACATCTTGGAAATTTAATGGCTGCAAGGTTGTGTTGTCATGCATTTAAGAACCTTTTGCATGGCAAGCAGTTTCTGAGAACTTCAGGTGCTGCTTGAGTTAAATATACTATAAAACAAACAGATGGTGCAAGGTGCAATATGTCTACAATTACAAATCTCTTTGGGTAGGGTTCTTTCTTTTTAATACCAAGCTTTCCTTAAGGCAGTAAATATCTGTATGAGGAGGTTCAGAGTGTCTCTAAGCTACAAGGGTGGGTGTTCTTGCTTTTATATTTAGCTGCGGGGTGGGGGAGGAATCTTAAGAAAAAAGTAGGAATAAGTGTGCCAAATAGATTGCATATAATCAATGTCTGCATCATTTATTTCTCATCCTAATAATTAAGATAAGAGTGCAGTATCTCCACTGCTCTGATTGGAAGAGATCACCTTTGTTCTGTCCCAAGAGCAGCATCCACTAAAGGGGATTATGTGGAAACTAAACCTTCCACAGAACTGCTTGTTCTTCTCTAAGGAAGTTCATTTCATTACTTTTGAAAACCATAGTTCTTATGGTATTTCTTGAAACCTGATAAATGTTATCTGTTATTACATGGAAAACTGTTACAATTACCTTCTAGCACCTTGGATAGCTAACAGGCAGTTTGCTACCAAATGATACAAAAATATTTGGGTTTTGAAGGTATAGTTCTGCAATACCTGTTCCATCTTTTTCACTCCCATGGTTAAGATAGTTTTGCAATGACTTTCTATTAAAATGTTGGTTGTTTTTCTTTCAGTTTGACTCAACTTGCACCTCTTTTTTCGTGTGTGTCTTTGGAAAAGCTAGATATCAGTAACAACTGCTTATTAGGTGAGTTTAAAAGATAAAGGGCAGGGACATTGTTGTCATGAGTTTCAAATTGAGCCTGATTGTTGACACATATACAGAGGGAGCTATAAAATGCTTATATTGTTTGTTGCACTGTTCTTAAGTATGGAGTTTAGAGTTGGTATGCAAACTTTCCCTACTTCCAGAATCACATTATCTCTTCACCAACACAAATCTTTGCTATGCTTAACCATGGCTGAGGCTGAGGTGCTGAGTAGTGCTGAGAGTTTGCTCTTGTGCAGGATTGAAACCCAGATATAACCCTGGTTAAGAGTAAATCCTGCTTATCCACCAATAATACTTAATGGTGGTGCTGACAGAAGCCTTTATATGGTTAATGACAATGGAAAAGTAGAGAGCAAGTGGGCAATTCCAAGGTCTTCTCCTCAACCATTAATCATAGATAGTTTATCTAAGTAATACTTAAATACGTATTACTACAGACAACAGTTCAAATTAAAACACCATTAGTTGTTGTTGTTTTTTAATAGCATCTACAACTTCTGTGTGTTCATTCTGATTTAGAGTCTTACTTTGATAAGGCAATCAAAATAACTTTGTATCCTTATATTGCTGTAAGTATATATTTTTACTTTATATTAAGCCTTGGTTGGTTTAGTTTCTATGCCTTCATGTAGTAGGCAAGGGATTTTGAATTTGGTGAGTGACAACTGTCCTTAGCCAAGAAAAAAGACTGGTTGGGCATCTACCAATATAACAAAGATAAACAGCATACCAAATAGCATTCATGCAAATCCAGTGTTCAGGTAAATCAAAAGAAAAGAGAGCAATAAATTTCACGGAGTGATTAAATGAACAAATGAAATTTGTCCAAATTAGCACCCTATAACAATCCAATATGGTGAACATAATCTGTGTTGGAATGATTAGGAGGGTTGAAATGGGTTGGCATTTGGTGATGACATTTAATAATCTCTGGAACGATGAACTTGATTAATTTATTTTCTTTGAATTTGACAATTATTTGAAAATAATTTGTTGTGATCCCAACAGCAATAAAAGAATTATTCCATTTATTTTATTTGTACTTTTCTTAACAAATGCAGATCTTAACAGTGTCATTCAGTGGCTTGGTGGTTGTGATAGCCTAAGAGAATTATCCTTGCAAGGAAATCCACTTCTTCAGGAAGAGAACTGGAGGTAACCAGATGAGAGTAAGAGATTGTGACAAGTGCTGAGTATCAATATGGTGGCTGAGATTTTGTTCTTTTTTCTTCCTCTAGGGTGGCCAGCTATGCCTTTAACCAAATAATAGTGAAATGTACTTTTGGGGAGCTGTTTCACTTCCTCTCTCCTTTTCTCCCTTCTTCCCAAGGTTTTATAGAAACACCATACATCACAGATGAAAGGGAATGTGAAAACAAAACCATGATTGTCTCTTGTTCTGAAAAAAAGATTTACTTATGATTACAATCATTATTTGCACAGAAAAGAAGTCAAGTTAATTACAATTAATTCCTAGTGCTTTCTGTGGTTCTTGACTAACTTGTTCCACTGATTTCAACAGGACCTAAGTTCAACTCGCTTAGGCTGCAACCCTATGCAGACTTTACGCAAGAGTTAATCTCACTGAACTCAGCTAGTCTGGATCTTTCAGTGCCAAGAAGTGTACTGCCTCTGAAACTAGAGGTATTACATAGTGAGGATGGCTATTAGTCGTATCCTCCATGAATTTGCCTAAGCCACTTTTGTAACTATCCAAGTTGGTGGTCTCCTCTTTCTCCAGTCAGTGGTGAACTTTGGGCTCTCAAATTTCAGTGTTGCCCTATGCAACACTGCCTAAAATTTGGTACTCCCTGCCTCTCAAACTTGGTTCTACATTGCTGTTGCAGCACCCAATACAGCTCTGCATCCAGTGCGGCCAAACTGCTCACACTGCCCTAAAACTACCTCTGTTCCAGTTCACCAAGAGGCAAAACTAACAACAACAAACCCTGCACATAATAACAGCACTGACAGGATAGATCAGCATCTCATTAGGAAGCATCTTCTGAGCTTTGCTCAGAACATTGGATGAATGAGATGGCATCTGAGGGTTGCTCTTTGGAGCTCTCTCAGCAACCCAGGGTCAGATTCATAGCATCTAATCCAAGAATCTAGTGAAACATCAGACATTCATAAATACAGTATCCCATCTCCTCAAAATCAGTGCTATTAAAACTACATCCACTTCAAACATCCATTTTATTTAATTTATTTGCTTCTCCCTGGTCTCCTTAAAAAAAAAAGTCATGTTCATTTTGCACTTCAAGTGGTTCAACAAATACATCTATAAAAGGGTATTTCCTGTTTCTTGGAAGTACAATTGCTGTTGTATATTGTAATGGGATGATGAGCTGCTTGTGCGTAAAATGCAAGTCCCTCAGAGTTTGGTCAAGTCCTCAAACCTCTGCCTACGGCGGAGCCCCTCCAGCATGGCTCCGTCAGTCGCTAGCAGAATCCGAAAGTGGTCTCTTACGGAATCTCTTCCAGCATAAAAGCTCCTTAACGGAAACACGTCTTCTGGACTCTCGGCGTGACAGTTTCCGGCGAGGAGTGGGTGTCCCTATAGGAGGTCTTGAAACCTCCCCACTGTTTTCACTGGAAGTGTCTCTGAGCCATCCTCCGACTCACTTTCCCCTGGAGCCCCTCCTCTCCCCCTGCTGGTTCCCTCTTCAGCTGCTAAGTCTGTCTCAACCTCAGGGAGCCCTTCCACCTCTTGTCCTTCCGATGGCAGTTCCCTGACACTAATATAGGTTTTGTTTTTGACCATTGGTATCTTCTTCCTTCATGATTCCTGCTTTCCATGTTGGCTATGATTGCTGTTAAGGATAGCTATTGAACGAAGATACATTGCTGATACCACCAGACTCTGAACAGTTATGCTTAGGTAGACTTTCAGGGGTATCTGGTGAAAATATGAGACACTCTATTCAAAACATGAGGGAGATGCAACTTTAAGCAAATCACTGCTCCCTACTGAACATTTCTAAAAAACCTCTCCACTCCATCTCCTTTCCTCTTCTGTCAAAAAGTAATAATGGGTGATCATTAATTATTTTTCAGCTTTAAAGTGTGAGAATGTGTAAAGAAATATGTAACAGCAGAACCAGACATTTTGTAAGGGTAGTTTTATAATGTTCATGTAGATACTTAGTTATTGACAAGTATTATTACAAAGTATGAATAAATGGCTCATGTTCAAATCCCTTCTCAGACATGACCCTCCCAAGGCAGCGTGAGGCAAGTCATGATCTCTTAGCCTAATTTACCTCACAGTGGTGTTGTGGAGATAAATATGAGGTAGCCTTTGTGTTTCCTGGAACACAAGAAGGAAATAAATTTGCTAAACTAAGTAAAGAGTAGCCACTATGGTATATTTTATTTATTTATTAGATAGCATGTAATTTTATGAATGTAGGATTATGATTACTTTTGTGAGACTACAGCAAGGGTTTTTCCTAAGTAAAAATATATCTTAAATGAATTTTCTTGAAGCACTTAACTAGCAATATGTTTTATCTGAGGATAGTGAACCTCATTATCCTAATTGTGACTGCCTTCATTAAAATTAAATCAGATTCCAAACCCATCCTGCTGTAATTATAATGCTAAGGACAGAAACATGAACTGAAAATGTCAATTAAACACAGCATTTAGTCTGTCAAATATGTAAAACAATAGCTGCTTCTGAGTGAGCTGTGAACCAATAACTATTTTTAGAAATCATTTGTCCCGGATACTGAACAAATCAGTTGTAGAGAGGGGAGAGTCTGGATCTGTTCGTGTGAACAATTCACCAATGGCAGAATGCGTTATGAATGTGTCACCTTGCTATAGTTATTTATACCATTTATGCCAACTCACGTGTAGAATTGTGTTTGTTCTGCTCATCCCGTGAAGTCTTGGTGAACAAGTTTGTTTGAATTTTAGAGGTCTGTGGTAAACTATGTGATTTCAACACTTTGGAAGTACTGTTAGGAGGAGGGTGTTACCGCCCATTTCCCAACATAATGCGGTGTTTTAAATTGCCCTGCCGGTCTCAGGTGCCAAATACTTTTTTTAAAAAGTGATTGGCATGCTTCAACTTCATTGCAACTTCATGTCTGAACAGTAACCTGAATTCTGCTTCAAGATCCTCACTCCAACGTGAGCTCCCTTTGCTGCCCACAGCTGCCCCATCCTATGTCCCCACTGTGCCACAAGTGGGCACCTGCGATAAAAGGAGGTTGTGCAGCTTCTGTCTGAAAGATGCCGTGCTGGTGAACTGGTTAACTTTACCACCTAAACACCAAGGAATCAGAGGTGGTAGGAAGGAGCCAGTGGTTAGTGAAAACTAGACAGGGATTTGAGGCTGAATTCGGTTTGCTGCTTTGCTCCTCTGTTGCGAACGTGATCTTGCAGTGCTGTGTCTGCACTCTGAGCCCTTATTTTTATCATTCTATCTCCTGAGGCTGCACAACTTTTAGTATTATTTTCCTCACAAGTGTGAAAAAAGGTAGCCGGGCTTTGAAATAAAAAAAACCAGTTGGGTGAAAATGTATTTTGTGACAACATTCTGTATTTGAGCATAGCAAATATTTGTAACAACCCTACATTCAATTCCACATAGTCTAGGCACTAAAAAAAAGAGTTGTTTAGGAATCGGGCAGTACTGGTTGATACCTTGTCCCTCTCCCCAAATGCTGCATGGATTATTCCTAGATGTATTTTCAGTATGTCAGACCTCCCGTCCCCTCCTCTATGGGCGGTGAGGAAGCAAAGCCCCTGAAAGAACCTCCCTCATCTTCCGAAGTCTCGAACACTTCCCTCCACCGGTTGCTGTTCCTGGTCCCCAAGTACTCCTCGTCATCGGAGTCAATTCCTTCTTCCAGCTCCGATTCCGTGAATCCTTCCAGTTCCTCCTCCTCGTCGGTGGTGCCGAAGTACTCCCTCCTGAACCTTGCTACAGGCTGAGGTTTCCTCGGGAACCTTTGGTGGAATGTTTCTATTAAGACCTCGTCATTGACATCCTCTGCAGTTACCCAGGTGTTTTCTGACTCCGGTTCCCCTTCCCACATCACCAAATACTCCACCTGATTCCCCTTCCACCTGGAATCGATGATTTCCACAACATGGCTGCTCCGTTCCCTTTCTTCTAAGGCTGGTCCCCTGGTGGATTCCCCTTCACGTCCCCCCCTATACGGTGACAGTAAGGACCTATGGAAAACTGGGTGCAATTTCATGTGGTTGGGTAACCGGAGTTTGAAAGCCACTGGGTTGACCTGCTGAATGACCTCAAAGGGTCCCAACCTTTTGGGTCTCAACTTCTTACAACCCCCCTTGAACGGCAAGCCTTGGGTTGACAGCCACACCTGATCCCCCACCCTTACGGCTTCACCTTCCCTTCTGTTCTTGTCTGCCTGCCTCTTATATTCTTCTTTGGCCCTTTCTAAGTTGTGCTGGAGCTGACGATGGATCGCTTCCATCTCTTCTACAAAATGTTCGGCCGCCGGGACGCTCCATCTCTCCCCTCCTCCCCCTGGAAATGCCCTGGGGTGACACCCATAATTGGCCAAAAAGGGGCTCATCCCTGTAGACACATTCTCCGCATTATTGTAGGCAAACTCTGCCAGCGCCAACTTTTCGACCCAATCGTTCTCTCTGTCATTGACATAACACCTCAGGTACTGCTGGAGGATGCCGTTTGCTCTTTCCGCCTGCCCGTTGGTTTCAGGGTGCCGGGCAGTCGAAAAATTGACCTCCACGTGCAGTAAGCTCATGAGCTTCCTCCAGAACCTGGACGTAAATTGTTTGCCTCTGTCTGAGACCACCCTCAAGGGGGCGCCATGCAACCGAAAAATGTGTTCTACAAACAATTTCGCTGTCTCTTCCGCTGTGACTGCATGTGAACATGCTACAAAGTGGCACATCTTAGTTAACAGGTCTACTACTACCATGATGGCTGTTTTCCCCTTGGACTTCGGCAGATCCGTCATGAAATCTATCAATACCGCCTCCCATGGCCGTTCGGGGGTGGGTAAGGGTTCTAATAACCCTGCCGGCGCCCGCCTTTCCCCTTTAGCTCGCTGGCATTGGTCACACCCTCTTACATACTCCCTTACATCTTCCCTCACCTTAGGCCACCAAAATTCCCTGGTAACCAACCACATGGTCTTGTG